AGCTACTTGGAAGGCTGAGGCGGAAGGATTGCCGGAGCCCAGCAGGGCGAGGCTGCGATGGCCAGGAGCGGCCACTGCACTCCAGTCTGGGCGACAGAGTGAGACTCCAACTCAAAAAAAACAAAACAAAACCAAGAATAGTCTTACAGATATGTTCTACTTTATCAAACCATTCCTCTTGTGATGGGTATTTGGTTTTTTCTTTTCTTTCCTTTTTTTTTTTGAGTTGGAGTCTCACTCTGTTGCCCAGACTTGAGTGCAGTGGCACGTTCACGGCCACCACAGCCTCGACCTGCTGGGCTCAGGTGATCCTTCCATCTCAGCCTTCCAAGTAGTTAGAACTGCAGGTGCACGTCACCATGCTGGGCAGATATTTTGATTTATTGTAGAGACATGGTCTCACCAAGTTGCCCAGGTTGATCTCCAATTCAAATTCAGGTAATTCTCTTGCCTCTGCCTCCCATAGTGCTGAGATTATAGGTGTGAGCCACCATGCCTGACTTTTTTTTCACCATCATAAAAGTAATGAATAGTATTAATTCATTAAATTTTTATCCAGAGGGGGAAATGATAACTAAAGTCCAAGTACACGAATAGCTTACGAATTAGAAATTCATCCACAAATGTTTAGATACATACAAAAGGGGGAGAATAATAATAATAATTATTATTATTTGAGTTGGAATCTCACTCTTGCCCAGGCTGGAGTGTGGTGGCACACTCAAGGTCACCGCAGCCTCGACCTGCTGGGCTCAGGTGATCCTTCTGCCTCAGCCTTCCAAGTAGCTGGAACTACAGGCTTGTGCCACCACACCCAGCTAATTTTTCTTGATTTATTGTGGAGATGAGGTCTTGCCAAGTTGCTCAGGCTGGTCTTGAACCCCTGGGCTCAGGCAATCCTTTTGCCTTAAACTCCCAAAATTCTGGGATTGCAGGCGCAAGCCACCGTGCCCCCAGTGGTAAGAATTATTGCTAACCGGGCTCGGTGGCTCAGCCTGTAATCCCACGCCTTTGGGAGGCTGAGGTGAGTGGATTGCCTGAGCCCGCGGGTTTGAGACCCGCCTGGGCAGGTGAGACCTCATCTCTACAAGAAAATAAAAAATAAGCTGGGCGTGGTAGCACGCTCCTAAAATTCCAGCTACTTGGAAGGCTGAGGCGGAAGGATCACCGGAGCCCAGCAGGTTGAGGCTGCAGTAGCCGGGAGCAGCCACTGCACTCCAGTCTGGGTGACAGAGTGAGACTCCAACTCAAAAAAAAAAAAAAAAGAATTATTACATTCATCTGACAAGACCTCTCAGAGATACAATTTGAACTGAGCTTTGAAGAAGAATATTTGGGCAGGCAAGATGAGTAAGATTTGGAGATGATGAAATGAAAGTTGAGGCAAAATCGGGGAGTTTGTCAGATGCTGAAGTGCTTTTGCAAAACAGCCAGGAAAGAGATGAAAAGGAAAGTTTTTAGCTAAATGTTGAGTCATTGCGTAGGAGAGTGTCTCAGCAGATATTTTAGACTTAAAAAAACGAAGGTTATTGAGAGATGGCTGAACAACATCGTTGGAGGAAGGAGTAGGAAATAGTTACCGTGTTTAGATTCCTTTTTCTCTTATATGTTGAGAACAGTTGCAAAGAGTTTTTGTTACAGAAGTCCGCAGAGAAAAAGATGTTTTAGGAGAAATCTGGTTTCATTTTGGGTAAAATATTGAAAGAAGATTGAGGAGGCCAGAGGAAGAAAAGTAATTTTGGTGATTTTCACAGATGGAATGTGGGTTCTACAGGGCATTTGATGTTCTTCAAGTTTTCTCAAGTTCTAAAAGGGCTTTGCAGATATTAATGAAACATGAGGTACCCTCCTAGAGCAATAGAATCGTGGCTTCCATGAGCTCAGAAACCCCTATACCTTCCTTCCTCTCCATAATTTCTGCGGCTTTCTTAGCCTATTCTTTCCTCCCTATTGAGATTATTTTCTTTCTCTTGCCATGTCCCCTCTTTTGAAACCCTTAATTTGCCTATTAGCAAATGGCCATCTGTACTGCCTTGGTGTATGTTTTACATTTCTATTGCTGCACAAATGTTGTAATTTAAACCACATAAATGTATTACTTTGCCTTGTGTAGATTAGAAATATAACACTGGGCCGGGCTCAGTGGCTCAACCTGTAATCCCAGCACTTTGGGAGGCCAAGGCGAGTGGATTGCCTGAGCCCAAGGATTTGAGACCCACCTGGGCAATTTGGTGAGACCTCATCTCTACAATAAATCAAAAATTAGCTGGGTGTGGTAGCACGCACCTGTAGTTCCGGCTACTTGGAAGGCTGAGACAGAAGGATCGCTGGAGCCCAGCAGGTTGAGGCTGTGGTGGCTGGGAGCAGCCACTGCACTCCAGTCTGTGCAACAGAGTGAGACTCCCATTTCAAAAAAAAAAAAGAAATCTAACACTGATTACTGGGCTTAAAATCAAGGTGTCAGCAGGGCTGCCTTCCTTTCCAGAGGCTCCATTTCCTTGCTGGTTGGGTTGTTGGCAGAATTTCTTTTCGTTATAGGACTGAGATCCCTGTTTTCTTGGTGGTTGTCAGCTGAGGGTTGTCCCCAGCTTTTATTTGTTTTTTGTTTTTGTTTTTTTTTGAGTTGGCATCTCACTCTGTCGCCCAGACTGGAGTGCCGTGGCCGCTCCCGGCCACCGCAGCCTCGACCTGCTGGGCTCCGGCGATCCTTCCGCCTCAGCCTTCCGGGTAGCCGGAATTACAGGCGTGCGCTCCCAGGCCCGGCTGACTTTTTGATTGATTGTAGAGAGGAGGTCTCGCTGCCCAGGCGGGTCTCGAGCCCGCGGGCTCAGGCCATCCACTCACCTCAGCCTCCCAAAGGCGCGGGATGGCAGGCTGGGCCACCGAGCCCGGCTTGTCCCCAGCTTTTAAAGCTCACTTGTATCCCTTGGCTCATGGCCCTTTGCCTCCATCCGTTAAAGCCAGTAACTGGAGGTCGAGTTCCTTTCACACTTTGAATCACACTTTGAATCTCTTTTCCTTCTTCCATCTCACTTCTTATCCTTTTCCTCTGTCTTTCTCATCTATGTTTTTGAACTTGTGATTAGATTGGGCTCAGTTGGATAATCCAGGATACACCCCAGGATTTCAAAGTTCTTAACTTTAATCACATCTGCAAAATCTCTTTTGCTATGTATGATACATATTCATTCATGGGCTCCAGGGACGAGGGAATGGACATCTGTGGGGCTATTATTCACTGCTTACCACACTTGGTAGGAAGTTCAGCAGATCCACTCTAAACAATTCTGTTCCTAAAATATTTCTCACTTCATCCCCTCCATTTTCATTGGTACTCTGCATAGTACATTATTCCTCTTTCTCAGTGTAGGAGGTTGTGTGTGCATGTTTGGAGTGACATTAATCCTGAACATCAGTCTCCTTTTACCAGATATGTCTTGTCGTTCAAGACTCGCAACACTAAACGAAAAATTGACAGCCCTTGAACGAAGAATAGAATACATTGAAGCACGGGTGAGTATGATGGGCAAGGACTGCTCAAGAGGGAATGCATATTTCCACTTATCTCTGAAACAAACCCGAAAGCAGAAACAGGCTTAGAGAAGTTACCTACCTTGCCTAGATTTGAACCAGGTTTCTGTTACTCCACACTGTCTTCTTTTCTACTATTTCTCACTGCCTAGGATCTAAAGTAAGAATTTTTTTTTGATCCCTCTAATGTTTTTGAATGTACCTAAATGTCAGTTTTCCTTTGACAGGTGACAAAAGGTGAGACGCTCACCTAGAACTGTGCCATGCTGCTGCTGGGAAGTTGCTTTATGGAACACAGGCCATGTGGGAAAGAGCCCAGCAGCCTTCAGCTCCTTCCTCTCTCCTTAAAGAGCAACAGGGCTTATTCTTGTTTTTATGTTTTCAAAAGTGTGGCCTTTGGGCTCTGCCATGTACATCTGGGGGTGTGTTGTGGCATGTGGGGAGAAGTCCAGGGGGATTCTTGGAAACAGCATTAGGAATTTTACCTTTTCAGTAACATTTTATAGAACTACTTGTCAATGTATTTCAGGCATTCAGAGCCATAAGCCTGGGACTGTTGGTGAAAGTATTCCCCACCTCTCTCTTTCTCAGATGTTCCTTAAAGTTCTCATTGCCTCTGCACTGATTCTATAAATAATCTTTTTCCTCCTCACCTTTGGTGAGAGACGGGGCAGTCCTAGCCAAGACACTCATGCCCTGGCAGTGTGGTTACCAGAGAATGTTGTTGATAACACACCAGTTTCTTGTCATTTGGGGGAGGTTAGGGCCAGGCTCCCACTTGGTTAGAAGAGACATTTTGAGAGTTTTCTTTAGGTCACTGGGAGTGTCTATGCCTTTATTTCTCTAATAAACTCCTCAACTTTATCTGACTGCTGTGATTATGGTGGGGAGAGGAGCTAGAAATGGGCTTACTTATTCCACAGAAATGTGATATGTAGGATTATTATCCTGACATAAAACTTTCAGATGTAGCTGTTTGATTCAAAGCCTGGGTGGCTTACCAGCCCGAGTTCTCATGTTTGGAGTTTCAGCTGACTAAGTCATCCTGGGAATCATTTGGGCATTCAGCACATTTATCAAGTACTTACTATGTAGGCATGTTATACGCCAATAAAAGTTCCAACGTTAAATCAGACATGATGCTTATAGTCTGTTGAAAACCAGCATCCACACAGTTTAACTACTATGTAGGACAGACTATTTGTTTTATAAGGTACAAATAAAAGTCTACTTCCTTTGAAAAGCAAATAGTTTAAACAGAAGAGCCTAAAACGTTCCATTCTGCCAGATATAGGGGCTCATGCCTATAATCCCAGCACTTCAGGAGGACTGTTTGAGGCAAGGAGCTCAAGACCTGCCTGGGCAACATAGCAAGGCCCCATCTTTACCACAAAATAAATGAATTAGCTGTTGTGGCATACACCTGTAGTCCAAGCTACACAGGAGGCTGAGGCAGGAAGAACTTTTCAGCCCAGGAGTTCAAGACTTCAATGAGGTATAATTGGGCCGCTATGCTTCAGCCTGGACAACTGAGCAGAGCAAAACCCTGTTTCAAAAACAAAACCCTGTCTCAAAAACAAACAAAAAACCCCCTATTCCCCAGTGCAACAGTATTCTGAGGTAGAGGAGGAGGTGATTAAGTGAATGGGATTAATGCCCTCATAAAGGATGCCTGCAGGAATTTGTTCACTCCTTCCCCAAGGACACAGTAAGAAGGTACCATTTTTGAAGCAGAGAGTGAACCCTTACCAGAAGCCAAATCTGTTGACATCTTACCTTGGACTTCCCAGCATCTAGAACTATAAGCAATAAATTTTTATTGTTTGTACATTACCCAGTCTAAGGTATTTTGTTACAGCAGCCCAAACATTAAGACACATTGCCTGTTTTTTTTTAGGTCCAGCTAGTCACCTTGCATCTGCTCTATTACAACCAGTATCTCTATACTGCAACCACATGTCTCATGCTTGCCCAATAGCCTGTGAGCACTCTGAAGGCAGAAACTGTGGATCTTTACAATAATAACCGCTGCTATTTGCTGGCTGTTTACTATGTTAAGTACTGAATCATTTTATATTCCACTTCATACTTTCATACCTCTTAATTCACTTTTATGACATAGGTACTTTTAAAAAATGCTAATTTCAGATATGTGGAATTAAAGGCTCAAAAAATTTAAATTGTCTTGCCTGTCATCCCACACCTGAAGCTAGACCTGGAATGAGCCCAGCTGGGTGGGATTCCAACTACTTTCCCTCTTGTCTGGCCAGCACTCAACAGGCACCCAGTGATTGTGGGGAAATGCAGTATTTCTCAACTGTTGTTATTAGATTTGAGAGGGCACGTAGACTGCAGTGTAAAAAGTTCCTTTTTAGTTTCCTTTAATCTTGATTTTGTCCAGGAGAAGGTTGGTTTGATATCAGAAGTTCTTTTTTGTTGTTGTTTTGTTTTGTTTTGTTTTTGAGTCGGAGTCTCACTCTGTCGCCCAGACTGGAGTGCAGTGGCCGCTCCCGGCCACCGCAGCCTCGACCTGCTGGGCTCCGGCGATCCTTCCGCCTCAGCCTTCCAAGTAGCTGGAACTACAGGCGTTTGCCACCACACCTGGCTAATTTATATGTATTTATTGTAGAGATGAGGTCTCACCAAGTTGCCCAGGCGGGTCTCGAACCTGCGGACTCAGGCAATCCACTCATCTCAGCCTCCCAATGCGCGGGATTACAGGCTGAGCCACCGAGCCTGGCTGATATAAAATTTCTTAAGCTTAGTTGCTTTCATATGCATAAATACTTTTGAAAGGAAGCACAGAAAGAACTGGTAAAAAAAAATTAGCTGGGCGAGGTGGCAAACGCCTGTAGTTCCAGCTACTTGGAAAGCTGAGTTGGAAGCATCGCCTGAGTCTAGCAGGTTGAGGCTGCAGTAGAGTCTCACTCTGTTGCCCAGGCTGGAGTGCAGTGGCACGCTCATGGCCACCGCAGACTCAACCTACTGGGCTCAGGCTATCCTTCTACCTCAGCCTTCCAAGTAGCTGGAACCACGGGCGTGCACCACCACGCCCGGCTAATTTTTTGATATACTGTAGAGACGAGGTCTTGCCAAGTTGCCTAGGCTGGTCTCAAATCCCTGGACTCAGGCCATCGTCTCGCCTCTGCCTCCCAAAGTCCAGGGATTACAGTTGTCAGCCGCCACACCCAGCAAATGTTGACTTTTTAATACTCTTCTATACATTTCAAATTGTGTGATCCAAACTAGAGACAAAAAGTTTATTTGTGAGGGAAATTTTAAAATAAATAATAGCACAAATGGTAGGGCAAAAACTGAGGATCTTAAGAGAATGAATAAACATAAGGAAACTCAAAAATTTATAGAGGGCGCCAGGAGAGGTGGCTCATGCCTTCAATCCCAGCACTTTGGGAGGCCGAGGTGGGAGGATTGCTTAAGTCCAGGAGTTCGAGGCCAGCTTGGGTAACAAAGCGAGACCTCATCTCTCCCTCCAAAATAAAAAAGTTAGCCGGCTGTGTTGGTGTGCATCTGTAGCCCCAGCTACTCGGGAGACTGAGGAGGAAGTGACCACCTGAGCCCAGGGGATTGAGGTTGCGGTGATCCGTGCTCAGGCCACTGCACTCCAGTATGGGCGACAGAGCGAGACCCCCGATTCAAAAAAAAAAAAAAACAACTACCAAACGAAAACAAAAAAGCGTGATAAGTAGGTCTAGCCTCGGCTCCCGCTCGGCCCTCGCCCCCGCCCCGGGTTAGGTTTCTTCGGGTAACTAGAGGATCCTTGTGCGCATGCGCCCGGGTCTCAAGCCTAGCCGGTTATCTCGGCAAGCTCGTTTTCCATCCGCATTCGAGGGCGCGCGAAAAGAGTACGCAGACATGCCGGGAGCGCGCGCGCACGCCGCGGCCCGCCCCCGAACCCGCTAGGACGCCGACTAGAAGGTCCTTGTGCGCACGCGCCAGTCCCAAACGGTTTCCCCCACCGCCCTCCGCAAGCCTGTGTTCCGTCCCCATCCGAGAGCG